CCACTTACTAAGTGATAATTTTTATTGAAGTACAGTTTCAATGTGTCAATTTCTAGTGTACAGCAACTGATGTCCCAGCCATGCATATACATACATATATTCATTTTCATATTCTTTTTCATTAAAGGTTATTACAAGATATCGAATATAGTTCCCTATGCTATACAGAAGAAAGTTGTTTTTTTAAGTCTATTTTTATATATAGTGGCTAACATTTGCAAATCTCAAACTCCCAAATTTATCCTTTCCCACCCTCTTTCCCCAGTAACCATAAGATTATTAACTATGTCTGAGAATCTATTTCTGTTTTGTAGATGAGTTCATAGTGTCCTTTTCTTTCTTACATTTTTAGATTCCACATATAAGTGATATCATATGATATTTTTCTTTCTCTTTTTGGATTACTGCTTTTAGACTGATGATCTGTAATTCCATCCATGCTGCTGCAAATGGCATTATTTTACTCTTTTTTATGGCTGAGTAGTATTCCATTGTATAAATATACTGCAGCTTCTTTATCCAGTCATCTGTTGATGGACATTTAGGTTGCCTCCATGTCTTGGCTATTGTAAATAGTGCTGCTATGAACATTGGGGTGCATGTATCTTTTTGAATTAGAGTTCCCTCTGATACATACCCAGGAGTGGGATTGCTGGGTCATATGGTAAGTCTGTTTTTAGTTTTTTGAGGAATCCCCATACTGTTTTCCATAATGGCTGCACCAAAGTACATTCCCACCAGCAGTGTAGGAGGGTTCCCTTTTCTCCACACCCTCTCCAGCATTTATCATTTGTGGACTTCTTAATGATGGCCATTCTGACTGGTGTGAGGTGACACCTCATTATAGTTTTGATTTGCATTTCTCTGATGATTAGTGATATTGAGCATTTTTTCATGTGCCTATTGTCCATTTGTATGTGTTCATTGGAGAATTGCTTGTTTAGGAATTGCTGCCCATTTTTGGATTGGCTTGTTTTTTGTTGTTGCTGTTGTTGTCAAAATACCTGATACCTCCAGGGCTTCATCTCAGACTTTAGGAATCTGGGCCTCAGGAGACAGGTTCTAGCTCCTACATATATAAATCACTCCTCAGGGGAATTCTTTTTACCCTAAAGTGTAAAAATGTCTTCTCTAAAGAAAGGGTCATATGTCCTCTAATATTTAGCAAGAGATCTTGTCCTCCTGCACTGTTTTTGGTGTTTCACAAGCTTCCTTTCGTGCTTGTAATCACTTATTCTCAACTGATCTAAAATTTTCTTTTCCACTCTCTGTAAAGAAACTATTCTTTTTCTATTACTTTAAAGTATGAATACTATGCCATATTTTCATCACAACCTAGGACCACATTTAAACTATTAAAAATAACCTTTCCTACAAAGAAATGCCTGAGTTGTTAACACACTTACAGTAAATAATCCATTAACCAAGCCCTCAAAGATGAATTTTGCTTGGTTGTAGAAAATGAGACTATGACCTGCGTTTAGATACTCATGCCAGTTTAGCCACTTACTAGCCATGTGATCCTGAACAGAGATAGAAAGTGGCGGAGTGGGTCTTTAGAACACAAGCCTCAAAACCCAGTCTCGTCATATATTGTCTTATGTTTTTCACTGAAAAAATGTGAGCATTGGCATAGATTATGTCTTGTAGTCCCTTGTAACTCTAACCTTCCAATGAACAGCTAATCCAAATTACTTACATAGTTTAAAGTAATAAAACTATATTTCTTTTAAAACTGTGATCAAATCTGGACTTAGATCAATAATGCATTAATGACATTTTATTTCAGAGAATGTTAATTAGAATCAAGTTGGTGGGGACAGCTTTCTAAAGAAGATAAGTGAGCTGTAAAATTATAATGTGAAAAGTAAAATCTCCTTCATCCATTTAACAATCCTAGAACACTTTACACAGTCTCATTCTTATTTTTCAGACATGCTTCTCTTTTTAATGCCTATTGTCTTGTCTTTGTTCTCCGTGTTTTATTCTGTTCCTTCCATTACTTCTCCCACTCTGATGTTTTCTACTAGTTAAGTTAAAGTAGTTTTACATGAAGTATGGTCTAGTTTACATTCTGTGTGTTTATCATGGCCACCACATGCTGACTTACTAGTTAATAAATTATTTCTTTGGACTTTTTGTTTTTCGGAGCAAAAAAAATCTCAGTTCAATGAATATTTCCTCTGAAATTAAAAAGAAACAACTGCTCACTGCGTAAAGCCCTTGGAAACCTTGGGTACAGGGACTACACAAAGACCTCAGAAAATTCAGGTTATCTTATACAGATAAGTGTGGTCAGACTCCTGGAACACCAGGGAAAGTCCCACAACACAAGAGGAAATTGCTTACAGTATCAGGAAAACATGCAGGTTTAAAATCTATTATTAAATGTGAATGGTAAACATTTATTTAAGGGATTGCTATAACTTTTTTAGAAATCTAACCTATCAGCTTAAAATATGCGACAAGAAGTAGCTTTTTTCTGTCCTTACCTCTCTGTCCTGAAACATGAGGCAATGGGCATATAAAAATTAGCTTTATTTGGGTGTGCTGATAATTTGAAATTGACTGTCACAACTCCGTATCCCCATGAGTCCCCGGAGAACGTGGAAGATGGGGAAGTGCTGTAGATGTTGCTGATACAGAGGCATTTGCTGCTTGATATTTTATTAGCTGACAAATTCAGCACAGGGTTGAGTTTCCTTCCAGCCCTCTGATGGAATGGAGGCTTTAAAAGTGATAGAAAATGAGATTTTCTCTTCATAGGCCTTTGAGAATGAAATAAAAAATCCTAAAGAAATATCAGAATCAGTTGGCATTTTCTGTCTGTGAGGAAGTCATGTAAGCCCCTACTTGTAAATCCCTTTAATAATATAGGTCACTTTCCTTGTGGCAGTTTTTACCACTCTCTAGGTCACTCCTCTGATTCCTTAAAGACTTTTGCTGGTGGCTCACTGTTGTCTCCAATACTCTCGTTGTAATTCTCGGCAATTCGGTATCCACTTAAATGCTCTTTCTATTAACCTGGCATCTCAGTTCCTTGATCTCCCTGCCCCAGAGATTGTGCTGTTCTCTTTACATGAGTTGCGTTGTCATTACAGTAACTGTAATTCCACCATAGCTTCACCTCAGACCTGCCACTCACCACTGCGTCTCTCTTTCCAGCTCACTTTCTCTGGTACTCCACAGCCAACATCTGCCCCACTGGGGTCTCCCTTTCCACCTTTCCATGTGCCTCCCTTTCTTACGTATTTACCTACTGTCTTAGATGATTGAATTTCATGGTCAATCATTATAATCACTCTTGTGGTTTTACTAAGTCACAGAAAAGACTAGGTCTAACTGCAGGTCTCCTGTATTTCTGTGCTCTTGTAGCTGAATGTGGATAGAGAAAAGTGCCCAATCATGAAACTGGTTTCACCTCTTCGTGATTACATACCTCAAGCAAGCTCTTAACTCTGTCCGGCAATCATGCTGTATGTCCCCAGCCCTATTTACTCTTCCACACACTTTGATGACTGACTGGGTCGTATTCCTCAGACTGTCAACATGCCCTCAGTATTGGCTGATGCCCTTGTTCTTGTTCCCTTTTTTTACTGAGATCGAACAAACAAAAATAGAAGCCATCAAAGAGAACTTCACCTGTCTAACCTACCACCCAAACCTGTTTCTGTCAATGAGCTGCTCATGCTCTTGTAAAGCTAAACTGCCGTGCCTGAGGCCCAGTTCCCATCTGCTTCGGCAATTCTCAGTGTTCCTCTGCTTACAGCATCATTGCTGTCGGCATGCAAAAAATGCTGCATTCCCCCCGGCTTTAAAAAAAAGCTTTAATTTCATCCCTCCTTTGCTCTTAGTAGTCCTACTTGTCTTCATTACTTTACCTCAAATCTCCTTCAAAGAGTTATCCATAATCATTGTTTCTCATTTCTCTCCTTCCACTCTCCCAGGGACATACTCTAGTTGGGAATTTCCTCACTGCTTCACTAAAATTGTTGTTACCAAAGTCAGCCCAATGCCCCTGCTCTTAAGTCCAACGGCCGGTTCAAGGCCATGGCTTTACATGGCTT